TGTGTGTGTGTGTGTGTGTGTGTGCTGTGTGCTGTGGGTTAAAGAGCTGGACTGCAAAGTCAATTTGAACAGCAAGGTCAATGGTTCAAGTTCATCAGCTGCTCCTAAATGTTGTTGTTAAGTCAGAGTGATTATGAGTCGTCGGAACCAAGTCGACTGCACTTAACAACAATATATATTTTAATTTTAAGTGCCATTGAAGTGGTTCCAACTCATTGCCAGCCTGTATAGGGTTTTTGAGGAGTGACTGGTGAGTTTGAACCACCAACCTTGCAGTTCAAACCGACCTTGAGGTCGGTGTTTATCCTACAGCACCACACCAGGACTCTCTCTCTCTCTCTCTTGATAGATAGATAGATAGATAGATAGATAGATAGATAGATAGATAGATAGATAGATGCTGTAGGATAAGCACCTGACCGCAATGTCAGTTTGATCCGCAAAGTCAGCGGTTTACCAGCTGCTCCTCGGAAACCCTATATAGGCTCGCTACAAGTCAGATAGATGTTGTTAAGTGCTGTTGAGTAATTGGTTCTGACTCTCTATAGTGTTTTTGGGGAGTGACTAATGGTTTTGATCTGTTGACCTTGCAGTTAGCAGTCTAATGCCATATGAGAGTGATATATATATATATATATATATATATATATATATATATATATATATTAAGATGTATACAATTCAAGTTCCTCACTGTTTTTAGAATGAAAACCATACAGGTTTGTATGTATCAAAACAAAAACAAAAACAAAAACATGGAGTTGAGAATGAAGATTAAAATAGGAAGTTAGTGCTGCACCCAGAAGAGAAAGTGATACAGGCTTCCTAGATGATGTAACTCAAATTCAAACATTCTCCAAGGAAAAAATCAATAATGGCATAGGAAAAACAATTTAGATTAGAAATTTAAAGACACAAATTCAAGTTCTAATTTTTGCAAATGTGAACCTGAGCAAGTGCATTGTTTTTAAGTGCTGTTGAGTCAGTTCAAACGAATAGCAACTCTGTATAGGGTTTCCGAGGAGCTGATGGGTTTGAACTGCTGACCTTGTGGTTTGCAGTTCAGTACTGATCCAACAGCACCACACCAGCAGTCCACTGCAATCTCTGAATTTCAGTGTCTCATCTGTACAGAGGACTCCTGGTGTAGCATTGTAGGATAAGAACTGTACAGGATCACTATAAGTTGGAACCAACTCTATGACACTTCACAACAACAATCTGTACAGTAACGTAACACATTGCTTATATCAACAGCCCCAATCAAAAATTATCCTTCCAACTAATAAACTTTTGAGGATGATCATGGATACTCTTAATAACTAAATCAGGACAACAGTTACAAATTATCAAAATTCCTGGCAGATCACTCAATAATCCCTTTAGTCATATGGCTTCATTTGTGTATGACAAATCTGTAATTAAACATGTGAGATGTTCTTACAATTGTCTTTGGTGTATATAGTAAGTATCCAGTAACTGCTTGTTGCTTATTAATTGAGACAACATTTACTTCACAGAATTTCTGTAAAAATTAAGTATGATTGTGCTCATATCATATTTTCATAGCTAATAAGATGCAACATAATGTTGCATTATTATTACAATTATTACAGGGTTCCTGTGCTAATGAATTTCAAAAGCCACTTGTATGGAGATGACAGTTGATTTTATAAGTCAGGAAGAGATCTTTAAGAGACACAAGTGAGGACAAATTAGGACTTGAGGCAGAAACTTGAGAAATACTATAGTTTAGACAAAGGGGCAGGAAAGGGAGCCATTTAAGAAGAAATATCTATATTCTTCAGAGAA